ATCAGTGGAACAACTTCCCTCTAGAATTTGTAAATGCCCCAACACTGGAAGTTTTTAAGAAGATGTTGAATAACCATTTGTCTGAAGTGGTGTAGGATTTCCTGCCTAAGCAAGGGGTTGGACTAGAAGGTCCAAGGTCCCTTCCAACTCTCTTATTCTAGTCTATTAATGTTAATTTTTAGTAACATTTAATAATAGTTTTTTGGGGGGTCCATTATTATTTTTAAAAGTGGAAAGGGATCCAGTAAGCAGAAGCTCAAGAGATATTAAGGGTTGACTGAAAGATACAAGCACTCAGGTGGTAGTTAGTAGATGGGGGAAAGGTGTTTAACTAATTATTTCATTTTTTAAAAAATCTTGTGGAGTAATACTTTAAGATTTCTCTCTCTAAAAAGCGTTGAAAAACTTAATCTTTGTAGTGAATATATGACCAAAAGGCAACATTTAGGAAATGCTTCTTCTTAAATTCAACATCTAGCTAACCATGGCTGATCTGCAATGCTGAACCTGGTTAGGGCTTGGATAAGGATAAGGACCACTTGGGCTAACCTGAGGAATCCTGGTGGTGCAGTGGTTAGAATGCAGGCTAACTCTGTATTCCACTGCCAAGAGTTCAATCCTGACCAGCTCAAGTTTGACTTAGCCTTCCATCCTTCTGAGGTCGGTAAAATTAAGAACCAGATTGTTGGTGGTGATATCTTGATTCTGTAAACTGCTTAGAGAGGGCTGTAAAGCACTGTGAAGCAGTATATAGGTTTAGGTGCTATTGCTAAGTGCTATTGCTAAACTGTAAGGTTGCCAAAAACACTTTGGAAGAAGGCTTTGTCAAACCATTTCTTTACTTTTGTCAAGACAACGATATGCCCATGAAGTAACTTAAAATCAAAGTCCACTTGGAGAGACTTAGATGCACTCAAGCAAAATCTATGATGTATCAAAGCTTATGCATGAAGACATTTGTACATAAAAATTCTCACTAGAGAAAACCCAATAACCTATTTTGAGATAGGTATTTTTTTAAAAAAAGATTGAGGCATTCTCAAAAACAATTACTGTAAATCTGGGAAATTGAAATAAGATTTTTAGGTTTTTTTTTTCCTTTTTGAAGAACTGAGGTTAGACTGTCTTTTTTCAAAATTAGACTTTATACATTAATTTTCTCTGAAAAAAGAAAGCCATGGGCCTCATTTCAGCCTGCTGTCTGGAAATGCTATTACAGTATCTAAATATCTGTTTATAAAATCAATTTTACGCATGATGATTACTCTTGGAATCAGTGTAGATAGTAAAATGGATGCTCAGAGAAGTATTATATCTCCCTTGCAAATTCTAAAACATTTCTTAAAGCATTACATTACACATTTGGGGAGAGAACACAGGAGCAAGAAAATATTGTTCAATTACTGTCTAGGCCTATTATTAGGGAAATCCTTCTCATTATTGCAACCCGTTTTGTGGACAAAATTACCTTTTTTAAAAAGATACAAGCCCCGCTTACTCACTGTCATTTTCAAGCAACTGAAATGTCCATTCGTTTAGTAATTATCCTTACTTATAAAGATAGTCCTTGACTTATAACCATTTGCCTAGTGACGGTTGGAAGTTACAAAGGCACAAAAAAAAAGTTGCAGCATCCTCATGGTCAAGTGATTTACATTTGGATGTTTGACAACTGGTTCATAGTTATGGCGGTTTCAGTGTCCCAGGTCATGCGATCACCTTTTGTGACCTTCTGACGAGCAAAGTCAATGGAGAAGCCAGATTAACTTAACAACCATGTTACTAACTTAACATCTGCAGTGATTCACTTAACCACTCTGGCAAGAAAAGTTGGTAAAATGGGGCAAAACGCAGGTAACAAGTTTCTCACTTAGCAACATAGATTCTGGGGTCAATTGTGGTTGTAATAGCAATATCAATAGCAGTTAGACTTATATACC